AATTGATGTAAGAAAACACACCAAGAATGATTGTTAATGAGAAAGCAAAAGGCATACCGTCAACACCGATTTGGGAACAGTTCACGAGCTCAGAAGCAACGGCACCGTGTTTCGCTATGATAAGATTTGGATTGGTGGTTTCTTCTATGGTAATTTCTATTGTTTGATTTTTTTAATTTTTAATTTTTTTTTAATTCAATTTTGCATTGCGGGGATTCAGAAATAGATATTTCGGTGTAATGTACAGTATGTTTATGTGTATGTACCTTCGCGCGCTTTCAAAATTCCGATCAACAGAAACCATGTTGCAATCCCAAGGCATAGTGCGACAATCACTGTTTTCTTTATCATTCCTCTCCACCAACTTCGGTCATATCCATTATTATCATTCACCCCTTTGAAGCTTAATAAACCACTTCTTGGGTTCTCATTATCGACACGAGTTGAGGATGAACCAAAAGGAGGGCTATGCCCTTCTTCAATTGATTGATATGAAGGTTGAGACATTAATGTGAGAGTAAACTTTTATGGTAATAATCAGAAAATTTTTTTATTTCCTTTAATCAAATATTATCATGAGGAACAAAATCGTAGTTGCGAAATTCTGTCAAGAAAACTTTTATTGGTATATATAGGTGTGTGCACATACTATTGCTACGTTATATTCGTTTAATCATTATAATACTACAATTTACTAATTACACTCGGATAGATTGATCATATACACAGATCGGAATACTCGCGCCATCCTCCTTAACTATTGTCTCATCCTATAAGAATACCGAGAAAACAGAAAACGCACATTCTTGTAATAAATTATACAAGACTATTTTATCCGTTGTACGCCGCACGTTCTAGAAAAACAAACAAGAGTTGGACGGTGGTAACGCTGTCGATGCCATTATCGCCACTCACATTTGTATTGGAACCATAAATTCATGTGCAGCCGGTATTGGAGGGTGTGTACCATGTTTTCTTCATGATATCCTTGATCATTAATATATATATATTTATGTATATTTATAACGTCCAATTCCAACGTTTCGCGTGCACAGAGGTGGCTTCATGCTTGTTCGCAAGCCCAACGGGTTCGCCGAGATCATAGATTTCCGTGAAGTTGCTCCCTTAAAGTCACACCGGGACATGTACGTCAAAGATCCCGAATTGTCGAAGATCGGGCCATTGGCTATTGCCGTACCGTATGTAGTAATTTATTTCTTATGTGCTTCCTTTTCCTTTTTCTTTTATAATGTTACTAAGATGACTATAATAATAGCGGTGAAGTTCGTGGATTAAAACTTGCGCACGAAAGGTATTGCTGCAAATATGATTTCATGTGAAGCATGCATATCGTCCACGAACGTTATTCAATTTTAACTTTCTTTAACTATCTTGCTCTTGAAAAAAAAAAAACAAGGCACGGAAAGTTACCATGGAAACGACTTCTTGAACCATCCATCAAGCTTGGTCGTGACGGGTTCGCCATACCAAAAGAATTATCGATTCGCATGAAGGTAACGGTCAAATTATTAAAAATTTTGAAACGATCATTTTTTTCTCTCGTCCCCCTTAACCCATCATAATTTCGCCCACGGCAGATGTATAAGCACGAGCTTGAAACGATACCTGCCTTCCGTGACATTTTCTGCGATGCCGAAGGAAAGTTGTTAAACGAGGGCGACATTGTTTACCGTAAGAATTATTCGAGGACTTTGGAAAAGCTTGCTGAAGATTATAATGATTATTATGAGGTATTGTGGGGATCGTATTTATAAGACATTCTTTCAACATTATATTTCGCATTGTCGTTCATTTTCGTCCACCTGTACAAAGGGTGAAATCGCAAAATCGATAGTTGCTGAGATTCAACGACAAGGTGGCCTAATTACCTTGGAAGATCTGATCAATTATAGACCAGTTATTCGGGAGCCGCTCATCGGATATTACCAAGGAAAGAAGGTAACGTAAACTTTGAACTTCTGTGTTTTTCTTTTGAAATGTCACGCCAACACAAAGTGAATCTCATCTATGTAGTTTATAACATCTCCGGAACCCGGCAGTGGTACCATCCTATTGTTCTTGTTGAACGTCATAGAAGAATTTAAATTCCACGAAGAGGGAAGGAGCAAATTGAATGTGCAAAGAATGGTCGAAACCTTCAAATGTAAGATCTAAAACAGAAAAAGATCTTTCGTTACACCTGACCAATCGTGTAACCCTTTTTTATACATATAGTTTCTATCGCAAGACGTACCGAAATGGGTGACCTCGCATTTGTAAGTTTTGTCCCAAGCTTATTGAATTCTATTGGTGCATTTCTCCCACAGAATCCTTCATTCTTACTCTTTTTATTATAAATGAAAATACCAGTTCGAGAATAAAACGGCACACCTCGAACGCATCCGAGAGATCATTTCAAAAGAGTACGCGGCCGAGATTAGGGCCAATATTTCGGACGTATGTAGTGATTTTTAATATATTGTGTTGTGACGCTTTGATTGTTTCCCCCCGATTTAAAGTACTTAATCGCGACTACATACTGTACATAGCACGAGACTTTCGAAGCTTCCTATTACGAGCCGCTATACGCTCCGAAGGAAGATCACGGTACAACTCATATCTCGGTGGTGGATGTTGACGAGATGGCTGCTAGCATGACTGCCACTGTAAGCACGTGACCTATTTTCATTTCATTTAATTCCTTCTTTTCTTTTTCTCACGCAAATCTCTCCTAGATAAACCATTTCTGGGGATCACAAATAATGGATCCCGTGACCGGGATAATATTAAATGATCAAATGGATGACTTCTCAATTCCGTTGCCGCCATCCATCGAACGATTTTGGCCAGCTCCTCACAATTTTATTGGTAAGCTTCATGTGCAATATATTACCTTGAATATGAACGAATACTCAATTGGTTCAATTGCGAATAGTACCGGGCAAAAAACCGATGTCATCTACAGTACCCACGATCATTGAACGAGCCGACGGAAGATTCGAGATGGCCATCGGTGGTAGTGG